TCAAGACTTTCTTCTCTCCATCACTTTCCATACTCACCCTTTTTTTCCTGGAAAATATGGCCTCCATTTTCTCTCGTTTTCTTGCTCTCTCCTTCATGTCTTGTTTTCTTCATTGACCATAACTTCACTGTCATTCATAACCAGAATTTCTTCATTCTGAAACCACCCCATTTCTTAGAATCCTTGCGAGGTTCACCAACAAACTCAAATTCCTTGTTGTTGCTTCCAGTTCAACTGCTCTAGTACATTCATAATGTTGTTTGTCTCATCACTCCTTTGTCTTACTCTTAGACACTTTGATAGTAGTTTCCTAACATATTTAGTGAAGCCGGTTTTCATGCATGGCTTCTCTGGTTTCCTTCATCTACTGTTATTGGTGGTTCTTTTAGTTTCGCTGGTGTGGAGGAAAGTTACACTAGGAGCCAGAGAAACTTCCTCAGATAATATTACTAGTACCTTGTTTCCAAAGGCTCCACTTTGTCCTCTTCTTGTTTCTGCTTTCAGTCTTCTAGTCTTTTTGTTTGATTACTTTTCTTGGTATAAAAATGGTTGGTCAAAAGAAAAGCTTGTGATTCTTCTGGATTTTCTGCTCAAAACACTTGCTTGGGGTGTTGGTGGTGTTTGCTTGCACAGGGAGCTCTTCATTTCAAGGGAAAGAAGATTACCAATCTTCTTCAGAGCTTGGTGCTTCCTTTACCTGATTGTTTCTGTCTACTGCTTTATTGTGGACTTTGTCCTCTATGAAAAAAGCATTCTGCTTTGCTCATTCAGAGCTTAGTTTCTCATGTTTTCTCTGTTTGTGCGTGTTTATTCTTCTTTTACTTGGGGTTGTTTGTACAAAATGTGCTTGCTCCTACTATGAGCAGCAGGATGTTTTGCTAAGTCTATAGCAGATTTATTGTCCACCATTAATTTTGGACAGCTATTCATCTTCACCTTTAACTTTTGTAAGAGCATTGCTAACCATGCAGCTTGGCACGCAGCTTGAGAAGCAGAAATGTATTCTGCTTCACAAGAGGAAAGAGCTACAACAGGTTCTTTCACGGAATGCCATGAGACAGGTGACCCACACAGAAAAAATATGTATCCAGCAGTGGACTTCCTATCAATCTGATCTCCGCACCAATCAGCATCTGCGTATCCCTTCAGTTCAACACTTCCTTCGCACCCTTTATTTGGAAACAGCAAGCCAAGGTTCTTTGTCCCTTGCACATAACGCATGATACGTTTTACAGCATTCATGTGGGTTTGTTTAGGTTCCTGCATGAATCTACTCACTATTCCAACTGCAAAACTTAGGTCAGGTCTTGTACAACACAAATACCTCAAGCACCCAACCATTTTCCTGAATTCTGATTCATCCACAAGTTCCTCATCTTCATTCTTTCCCAACTTCAACCCTGTTTCCATCGGTGTAGTTGCTATGTTGCAGTCTTGAAGCTTGAACCTGCTCAATAGGTCTTTTGCATACTTCGTCTGGTGCATTAACATTCCATGATCTGTCTGCATAAACTCAATTCCCAAAAAGTAATTGAGTTCCCCCAAGTCACTCATTTCAAATTCAGTGGTCATCTGATGTTTGAACTGCTTGATATATTTCGCTTTACTTCCTGTGACAAGCATGTCATCCATGTAGAGGCATACGAGTAACTTTTCTTCTTGACCATTGCTGATCCAATACTTCACGTATAATCCTTGCTCTGTGGTGCATCTTTCAAAGCCAATCTGCTGCATAAACTGATCAATTCTTTTGTTCCAAGCCCGTGGGGCTTGCTTCAAGCCATAAAGAGCTTTGATTAACTTGTAAACTTTCAGTTTATCATCCTTAACCTCAAATCCTGGCGGTTGAGTTACGTATACCTCCTCTTCAAGCAACCCATTTAGAAAAGCTGCTTTTACATCTAGCTGATGCATTCTCCACTTGTTTAATGTTGCAATAGCGATAATTACTCGGATTGAATCAAGCCTAGCAACGGGTGCATATATTTCTCCAAAATCAGTCCCAGCCTTTTGCAAATATCCTTTAGCCACTAACCTGGCTTTATGCCTTATCACTTCTCCCTTGGGATTGACTTTAACCTTGAATACCCACTTCAGTGCTATGGGCCTTTTATGCGGTGGAAGATTAACCAATCTCCACGTTCCATTACGTTCAATGGACTTTATCTCCTCACACATCGCTTTTCTCCATTTTTCATCACGCACAACATCCTCAAACTCCACGGGCTCCGCCTCTGCTGCCAATGCAAAATGCACTGGGTTTCCTTCTTTAGTAACAACACCAAACATTTCATAATCTCTGAAACGAGTTGGTTGTTGTCCTTGACGCTGGGATCTTCGAAGTTGTTGAACATCTTCTTCGAATTCAATCTCACCAGAATCTGCTGCATTATCTTCGGGTTCAATCTCACCAGAATCTGCTGCATCATCTTCGGGTTCTAGCGCAATAACTGGGACCACCTCTGCTGCCTCATTCACCTTATTCGTCTCCCACTCTCAACTATAGGCTTCATCAAAAACTACATTTCTGCTGATAGTTACACTCTTGGTTTCGGGGTCAAACAGCTTATACCCTCCAGTAGTGTGATAACCAATCATCACCATAGGCTTTCCTTTGTCGTTTAATTTGGTTCGCTGCACTTCAGGCACTTTATGGAAACACAAGGAACCAAAAACTCTCAGATGCTTGACATCTGGCTTCTGTTTTGACCAGGCTTCTTCTGGTGTAACTCCCTCCACCCTCTTCGTAGGTGTGCGATTTAGAATATAGGTTGCTGTTGCAATTGCTTCTCCCCACATATACATAGGCACGTTTTTACTTTTGAGCATACATCCAGCCATGTTGAGGAGAGTTCTATTTCTCCTCTCAGCGGTTCCGTTATGTTGCGGTGTGTGAGGTGGTGTAACCTCGTGTGTGATTCCCATTTCAGCCAGGAAGTTTTGAAACTCCAGTGAGTTATACTCACCTCCTCCATCAAACCGTAGTCGCTTTATCATGCAACCACTCTGTTTTTCAGCGAGAGTCTTGAACCTCCTGAATGTGTCAAAGACCTCATTTTTTCGCTTTAGGCAAAACGTCCACAACTTCCTGGTGTAGTCGTCCGTGAAGGTCACAAAGTACCGACTGCCCCTAGGTGTTTTCACAGGCAATGGTCCGCAAAGATCAGAATATACCAGTTCTAACTCCTTCGTTGTTTTGGTGGCAGCGAATTAGCTGAACTTGCTTTTCGTTTGCTTGCATTGCACACAGTCATGACACGCTTCTTCTGGCACATACACGCGAGGCATCCCTTCAACCATTCCTTTAACGCTCAGTTCACTCAAATTTCTGAAGTTCAAGTGACCAAAGCGTAGGTGCCACAACCACTCTTCTCTGTTCACTGCAGCTGCAAAACACTTATGGTTTAACGTAGTTATTTTTACCTTAAACGTACGATTGGATGATAGTGCAGCACAAATGACAAGCTTCTTTGTTTGATCATAGACCCGTAGGGAATTCTCCTCTAGAACCATCTTGAACCCTTTCTGCATTAATTGGCCAAGACTCAGCAAATTGGTTCATAACCCAGGGACATACAGGACGTCGTCGACTATAACTTCTTCTCCTTCGAAGCTTCTTAGCACGACCCGTCCATTCCCTTTTGCATGCAAACAGCTGTCGTCTGCAAATTGCACCCGTTCTTTAGTCTCATTACTCAATTTCACAAACCACTCCCTTCGGCCAGTCATATGGGTAGAACACCCGGAATCAAGATACCATGCGTCATCATCATTGTCTTCGTTCTTGGTCTGAACCATGAGTAAGACAGCTTCAGAATCGGACTACTCTTCTTGTGCGAGATTTGCCTGGGACTGAGACTTGGGTTTGTTTTTCGCTCCATCACCATGCCAGCAGTCGCGTGCGAAGTGGCCATACTTCTGGCAGTTATAGCATTTCACTCGCTTTTTGCCAATCACCTTGTCTTTACTCCCATTCCCATCTTTTGACTCTGGATCAGTCTTCTTCTTGGATTTGTGACCCTTCTTGGTATCTTTCTTTGGCTTCGATGAAGTTCTTGCTTGAAGAACCAACTCCTGATATGATTTGCGATCACTCATGCACAGTTCGTGAGCCTCCAACGAGTGCTGTAATTCTTGAATACTCAGCTTGTCGATGTCCTTTGTTTCTTCAATTGTGATAACAAGATGGTCGAACTTTGGATGCAAAGAACAAAGAATCTTGTTTACCACGTGTTCTTGAGACAATGTTTCGTTACAACTTTTCATGGCGTTAACCACACTCTGAACTTTGTTGAAGTAACTCGCCACAGATTCGTTGTCTTCCATTATCAAGAACTCAAAGCTTCTACGTAGGGCCTGCAACTTCACTTGCTTGTGCTTGTCACTATCTCCGTAAGTCTTGATGAGAATCTCCCATATTTCTTTAGCCGTTTCAGCCATTGAAATTTTGTTAAAGATCTCAGAATTCACACATTGATATAGCAAATACCTGGCTTTGCTATCCATCTTCTGCATCTGTTTGTAATTCCTCTTCTCTTCGTCTGATGCCTTGCTACCGGGATCGACGACGCCAACTTCGATCACTTCGGCCACATCTTGGAATCCAAACACTGCGCGTATTTTGATCTTCCAATCATCAAAACAGCTTCCACCGAACATGGGCAACCCTCCAGGAATGAATCCACCAAGTCCAGCCATGATTTTTGAACGTTTCTTGAAGAATCGCTATAGGTTTCTTTGAACTTCACACGTGCTTCACAAAAACACCCTGACACGCCACACACAGTCTGGCAGAATCACAAACAAGAGAACCACTTCTCAACTCACGGACTGGAAGACCCCCCTCACTAAACCGTTCTGGCTCTTGATACCATATAGAAACTATGCATGCATGCAGAAGAATGATAGGAATTACATATATTATGTGAAATGAATAAACGTATTTATACACAGTACAGAAACAGAAAGAAAAGCAGTTTTGACTTATTTCTAACATAAAAATGGTTGGTCAAAAGAAAAGCTTGTGATTCTTCTGGATTTTCTGCTCAAAACACTTGCTTGGGGTGTTGGTGGTGTTTGCTTGCACAGGGAGCTCTTCATTTCAAGGGAAAGAAGATTACCAGTCTTCTTCAGAGCTTGGTGCTTCCTTTACCTGATTGTTTCTGTCTACTGCTTTATTGTGGACTTTGTCCTCTATGAAAAAAAGCATTCTGCTTTGCTCATTCAGAGCTTAGTTTCTCATGTTTTCTCTGTTTGTGCGTGTTTATTCTTCTTTTACTTGGGGTTGTTTGTACAAAATGAGGGTGGAATAGGCGATAGTACTCTTCAAGAATCTCTGTTAGACGGTGATTCAAAAGATGATGTGTTCGGGACAGAGAAGACCAAGGGGGGTGACACTGTTACACCTTACTCTAATGCTGGAATTTTTTACCTTCTTACCTTCTCTTGGATTGGTCCTCTGATTGCTGTTGGAAAGAAGAAGTCCTTGGACCTTGAGGATGTTCCCCAACTTGACGAAAGAGACAGTTTAATTGGAGCTTTTCCAACTTTTAGGGATAGGCTCGAGGCACAATGTGGAGCTATTAACACAGTGACCACAGTTATGTTAGTGAAGTCATTAGTATTCTCAACCTGGAAAGAGATTATTTTCACAAGCATCCTTGCATTGCTAAACACATTGGCTTCTTTTGTTGGTCCCTATCTTATTGATGGTTTTGTTCAATTCCTTAACGAACAACGAAAATTTGAACATGAGGGCCTTATATTGGTGTCAGCTTTTTGTGTGGCAAAACTTGTAGAGTGCCTCACAAAGAGGCACTGGCTTTTTAGGTTGCAGCAGGTTGGAATACGAATGCGAGCATTGCTTGTGACAATCATATATAATAAAACTTTGGACCTTTCATGTCAATCCAAGCAGGACCACGGTACTGGGGAAATAATCAATTTCATGACCGTTGATGCAGAAAGAGTGGGTGAGTTCAGTTGGCACCTACATGATTTGTGGTTAGTAGTTCTACAAGTTATAGTAGCCTTGTTGATTTTGTATTGAAATCTCGGGCTTGCTTCAATTTCTGGCCTTGTTGCAATTCTCATTGTTATGTGGGCAAACGTTCCCTTGGCTTCAATTCAAAGTTTCATGACAAGTTGATGGAGTCAAAAGATGCAAGAATGAAAACAACATCTGAGATTTTGAGGAACATGAGGATTCTCAAACTACAAGCATGGGAAATGAAGTTTTTGTCTAACATAACTGAACTCAGAAGGATCGAGCAAGGCTGGTTAAAAAAATTTATATACACTTTAGCCACGATCATATTTGTATTTTGGTGTGCCCCAGCATTTGTGTCAGTGGTTACTTTTGGCACTTGTATGCTTGTAGGGATCCCCCTTGAGTCAGGGAAGATCTTGTCTACACTTGCGACATTCCAGATTCTCCAAGAACCCATTTATAATCTTCCAGAGACAATTTCAATGATGGCACAAACTAAGGTTTCGCTTGATAGGATTGCATCTTTCCTTTGTCTCGATGAGATACAATCTGATTTTGTGGAGAAGCTCCCATCGGGTGCTTCTAATATAGCAATTGAAGTGGTTGATGGAAATTTCTCTTGGGATTTAGTTTCTCCCAAAACAACATTGCAAAACATAAATCTCAGAGTTTTTCATGGCATGAGGGTAGGTATTTGTGGTACTGTTGGATCAGGCACGTCTACTTTACTTTCTTGTATATTGGGAGAAGTACCAAAGAAATCAGGGATTTTGAAGTTGTGTGGAACAAAGGCCTATGTAGTTCAGTCACCGTGGATACAAAGTAGCACGATAGAGGAAAATATATTGTTTGGCAAGGACATGGAAAGGGAAAGGTATGAGAAGGTTCTTGAAGCTTGTTGTCTAAAGAAGGATCTAAATATTTTGTCATTTGGAGATCAGACTATCATAGGAGAAGGAGAGAGGGGGATAAATTTGAGTGGTGGACAGAAACAAAGAATACAAATTGCTCGTGCTCTATACCAAGATGCTGATATATATTTATTTGATGATGTGTTTAGTGCTGTGGATGCTCATACAAGATCTCATCTTTTTAAGGTAACTCATTTTCTACGGTAATTTGTAATATAGTGTGTTTGTTAGAAATTGAGTTTTTTTCTAAAATATTTTATGTAATTTCTGATTGCTTTTTGGTTTGGTGAAAATCTTTATTTTATGGAAGAGTAGGTTGTATGGTCAAATATTAGGTAGAAAGAAGTGGTAGTCCTTATTTTGTGGAGATTTACATATCTCTTTATGGCATTAATGAACAACTGAGTTTTCTTCCCCTTTTGTTTACTGCTACTCTGTATCACTCTCTGTTCTTCTTTGTTTCTGGTTTTATACTACTTTGCTATTTTTTTTCTGGTTTTACAACATGGTATCATGAGCCTATTGATTTTAAGGGCCTGTGAGGGAGTGAAAATCAGTTAGAAAGTTATATACAAACCAGAAAAAAATACCAATAACAGAGAATGACATCTAGTAGCAGTTCTTTACCTCCACCTCCAGCTTTTGTGGGAGAAAATTATGATTTGTGGGCTAAGAAAATGAGAACTTATTTGAGAGCATAAACTTTGTGGGATGTGGTGGAAAATGGAAGTAATCTAGCTCCTTTATCAAATGACCCAACTGTGGCTCAAATATAATGAAGAAGTGGCAAAGGATGGCAGGGCACTTGCCATCATGCATGCAGCAGTTCACAATGATGTTTTTATCAAGATATTGAATCTTGAGATAGCAAAAGAGGTTTGGGAAAAGTTAAAGGAGGAGTTCCAAGGTAGCGAAAGAACAAGGAGGATGAAAGTACTGAATCTAAGAAGAGAATTTGAAGCAATCAAAATGAAGGAGTCAGAAACAGTGAAGGAGTTTTCTGACAGACTTTCTAAAGTTGTTACTCAGATTAGATTGCTAGGTGAAGGACTCAAAGATCAAAGAGTTGTGGAAAAAATATTGGTGTGTCTTCCAGAGAGGTTTGAGTAAAAAATCTCCTCTCTTGAAGAGAATAAAGATTTTTCTCAGATTTCAGTTGCAGAACTGGTTAATGCTTTACTAGCTACTGAGCAGAGAAGATTTCTAAGAATGGAAGAAAATGTTGAAGGTGCTTTTGTGGTTAACACCAAAGGAAAACCTCAAGGTAGAAGTAGCTATGAAAAAAAGCCTTTTGGTAGGAAGAAAGACAAAGAAAAAAAAGAAGATGACGGTTACAAAAGAGGAGGTAGAAAAGAGAAGTTTCCACCTTGCCGTCACTGTAAAAAGACAAACCATACAAAAAACTACTGTTGGTTTAGGCCTGGAGTCAAGTGTAAGGCCTGTAACCAGCTTGGTCATGTAGAAAAAGTTTGCAAAAACAAGGCAAAGTAGAAAGGACAACAAGCTCAAGTTGCTGAGTACCAAGAACAGAGTGAGGAACAATTGTTTATTACTTTTTGTTATTCTGCAAGTAACAACAAAGAAGTTTGGCTCATAGACAACGGGTGTACTAATCATATGACTCATGATGCTAATTTTTTTAAGGAAATTGATCAGTCCTACTTGTCAAAAGTCACTATTGGTGATGGAGAAAATGTTGATGTCAAAGGAAAAGGAGTGGTTGCTGTTGAAACTCCTACAGGTACCAAATATATTTCAGATGTTTTATTTGTGCCTAAGTTGAGTCAAAATCTTTTAAGTGTGGGGCAAATGCTTGAAAAGAATTATGCTTTGCATTTTGAAAATATGAGATGTACCATATTTGATACTTATGGATGTGAGCTAATGTCTGTCAAAATGAGAGAGAAAAGTTTTCCTTTAGAATGGAAACAAACTATTGAGCAAGCTTTTCCTATCATAGAAGATGAATCTTCCTTGTGGCATAAGAGGTTTGGTCACTTTAGTTACTCAACCTTAAGGCTAATGAAGTCTAATAATTTAGTTCAGAATATGCCTTCTATTCAAGAACATGATGATGTGTGTGATGTATGTCAATATGGAAAGCAAAGCAAACTACCATTTCCTAATGAAGCAAGTTGGAGAGCTACTGAAAAACTGCAACTTATACACACTGATATATGTGGCCCAATGAGCTCAACATCCTTAAATGGCAGTAGATATTTTCTCTTGTTTGTAGATGACTTTACAAGGATGAGTTGGGTGTTTTTTCTAAAATAGAAATCAGAAGTGCTTGTTGTTTTTCAAAAGTTCAAGTTAGTAGTTGAAAATGAGGCTGGAAGCAAAATAAAAAAACTCAGATCTGATAATGGAATTGAGTATACAACAGGGGAGTTTCAAAAATTCTGTGCACAAGCAGGAATTCAACAGCAATTAATCCTTACACCCATCAGCAAAATGGGGTGAGTGAAAGAAGAAATAGGACCATTATGGAGATGACAAGGTGTTTGCTCTTTGAAAAAGATCTTCCCAAAACCATTTGGGCAGAGGTGGTTAACACCTCTACATACTTGCTGAATATGTTGCCTACCAAAGCCTTGAAAGGTAAACCACCTTATGAAGCATGGTATGGAAGGAAGCCCTCGGTGGAATATCTCAAAATATTTGGCTGCATATGTTATACTCATATTCCAGAGGTAAAGAGAGATAAACTGGATCACAAGTCAGAAGTTGGTATTTTCTTGGGGTACTCTAGTAACTCCAAAGGTTATAAGATATACAATCCTTTGACAAAGAAGATTCTCATTGGTAGAAATGTAAAGTTTGATGAATTTTCTAGGTGGAATTGGGAGAAATTGATGTGAACATGACCTATGATAAGGGCTAGAGCAAGGGAAGCAAATGAAGCTCTTCAACAAGTATTGTTGGTTGACCAAATTGTGTTTTGGATTAATCAATTAATGGGCTTTAATTTAGTTTTATTGCAAGTTGTAATAAGGGCCCAATTGGAAATTTAGTTATCAGTCTTTGGGAGACCAAAAGGGTGCATAGATGATTGACTTTTGGATGCAAAAATTTCAGTTACAATCAATTATTAAGTAGTTTTCAATTCCTAGGTTAATAAATCATTATTAGCATTTATTTTTCTTTAATGTATATTTGTAACTCTGATGGCAAAGCTTCTTTATAAGCTGAACCATTTTTATCAGAAATAACAAGTAGAGTTTATTTTTAGAAATATTAGAGTTTATCTCTTTTATCTTAGTGAGAGTGATTCTCCTAAGTTCTTGAGTGATTCAAGAATATTTGGCTGTATCAAAGGACTTTCACATCCTTTGTGCGTTGCCTCCCTTGGGAAGAGTGATTCTTTCCTTCCACCTTCTTTCTAATTCCTAAATTTCTTACAAGGTTCTAACCCTAAAGATTCTAAATTACCCCTTGTGTAATTGAGATTCATATCATTTGGTATTCAGAGCCCCGGTTTAAAGGTTTGAACATCAAATTGATGGCAGAGGAGGATAAAAAGAAAATGAGAGAAAAATTTCTTCAAGAAAAGAGAGAAAAAAAAGAAGAAGAGTGAAACACTTGAAGTGAATGAGAGTTATTTAACCATAAAAGGTGAGTATAATGTTAGTTTTACATTCAATTTATCAAACTTATCTCTTTTTAATGTAGATGACGAATTCGATTTGAGGACAAATCCTTTTCAAAAGGGAGAGAATGATGTGAACATGACCTATGATAAGGGCTAGAGCAAGGGAAGCAAATGAAGCTCTTCAACAAGTATTGTTGGTTGACCAAATTGTGTTTTGGATTAATCAATTAATGGGTTTTAATTCAGTTTTATTGCAAGTTGTAATAAGGGCCCAATTGGAAATTTAGTTATTAGTCTTTGGGAGACCAAGAGGGTGCATAGCTGATTGACTTTTGGATGCCACAATTTCAATTACAATCAATTATTAAGTAGTTTTCAATTCCTAGGTTAATAAATCATTATTAGCATTTATTTTCCTTTAATGTATATTTGTAACTCTGATGGCAAAACTTCTTTATAAACTGAACCATTTTTATCAGAAATAACAAGTTGAGTTTATTTTTAGAAATATTAGAGTTTATCTCTTTTATCTTAGTGAGAGTGATTCTCCTAAGTTCTTGAGTGATTCAAGAATATTTGGCTGTATCAAAGGACTTTCACATCCTTTGTGTTGCCTTCCTTGGAAAGAATGATTTTTTCCTTCCACCTTATCACTAAATTCCTAAATTTTCTATAAGGTTCTAACCTTAAAGATCCTAAATCACCCCTTGTGATTCATATCAGAAATGCAAGGTAGAAGCCTTAAGTAAAAAACAGCTTGGAGTAGACACTCTCCAAGAACAATATTCAGAGATTGAAGAAGAAGATTTAGATGATGATGATGATGATTTTCCAGTTAGAGGCACTAAAACTCTTGCTGAAATTTATGAAAGGTGTAACATTGCTGCACTAGAAACTAAAGAATATGATGAAGCAGTTGAAATGGATGGGTGGAGATGTGCTATGCAGGAGGAGATGAATATGATTGAAAAAAACAAAACTTGGCAACTTGTAGATAAGCCTACTAAACACAAAGTTATTGGTCTTAAGTGGGTTTATAGAACCAAATTGAATCGTGATGGTTCTATAAACAAATTAAAGACTAGACTAGTTGTTAAAGGCTATCATCAACAACATGGTGTTGATTTCTCAGATACATTTGCTCCGGTGGCAAGACATGATACAATTAGGTTGCTAGTTGCATTGACAGCAAAAATGGGTTGGAAAATTTATAACTTTGATGTGAAATTAGCTTTTTTAAATGGTTTACTTGAAGAGGATATCTTTGTTGAACAACCTAAAGGCTTTGTTGTTCTAGGGAGTGAAAACAAAGTCTACAAACTTCAAAAAACTCTTTATGGATTAAAGCAGGCTCCTAGGGCCTGGTATAGCATAATTGATAGCTATCTTCTACATAAGGGGTTTAAACGGAGTGAAAATGAAGCTACTTTGTATGTGAAAAGGTCAAACAATGAAGTGCAACTCATTGTTTTCTTATATGTTGATGATTTGCTAGTTATTGGCAATAATTCAGATTCCTTGAGCAGCTTTAAGCATGACATGGCAATTGAATTTGAAATGACAGACTTGGGAGAAATGAATTATTTTCTTGGAATGGAGATTCACCAATGTGATGTTGGAACCTTCATTACACAAAGAAAATATGCTTTGAAAATATTGAAGAAGTTTTCTATGCAGAATTGTAAACCTATAAACATACCCCTTGTTGTAAATGAAAAGTTGTCACTTGATGATGTTGGCAGCAATGTAGATAATACTACTTATAGAAGCTTAATTGGAAGTTTATAGTATCTTACAGCCACTAGACCAGACTTAATGTTTGCTGCAAGTTTGCTGTCCAGATTTATGCAATCTCCAAGTCAAGCTCATTACTGTGCAACAAAACGAGTATTGAGATATATAAGAGGGACAACTGATTATGGTCTATGTTTTTCAAAGGATGAAAGTGGTGATCTTCAAGGATATGCAGATAGTGACTGGGCAGGAAGTTTAGATGATGCTAAAAGTATATCAAGTTATCTTTTCTCATTTGGTAGTGGAGTTTTCTCTTGGAATTCAAAGAAACAAGATGTGGTGGCTCAATCCACAACTGAAGCTGAATATATTTCAGCTGCAGCGGCTGCAAATCAAGCCATTTGGCTTAGAAAAATTTTGCATGATTTGAGGGAACTGAATGATGAAGCTACTGTCATATGGGTTGATAACAAGTCAGCCATTGCAATTGCAAAGAATCCTGTCCAGCATGGTAGAACAAACCACATCAAGGTGAAATATCATGCCATTAGAGAAGTAGAGAAATCAAAGGAAATCAGCGTAGAGCATTGTAGTTCAGAGAATCAGATTGCTGATATTATGACCAAAGCACTTTCCAAGAACAAGTTTGAATTTCTAAGATCAAAGCTTGGAGTATTCAAGAAAAATCTCAAGGAGGAGTGTTAGAAATTGAGTTTTTTCTAAAATATTTTATGTAACTTCTGATTGCTTTTTGGTTTGGTGAAAATCCTTATTTTATGGAAGAGTAGGTTGTATGGTCAAACATTAGGTAGAAAGGAGTGGTAGTCCTTATTTTGTGGAGATTTACATATCTCTTTATGTATGCAAAAAGAAAACCTTTATGGCATTAATGAACAACTGAGTTTTCTTCCCCTTTTGTTTACTGCTGAACTCTGTATCACTCTCTATTCTTCTTTGTTTCTGGTTTTATACTACTTTGCTATTTTTTTCCGATTTTACAATAGTGTTATTACTCTATTATATTTCTTTGTATGTATGATAAAGTACAAACTTTCTGAAGCTTTTGTTGGATGCTGTTCTCCTAGTAGCATGACCATTGTACCAGTATTTCGGTAAATGAGCCTTTTCATTTTATGTATGTGACAGGAATGCTTACTCCATCATTTAAGCTCAAAGACAGTGGTTTATGTCACTCATCAAGTGGAGTTCTTGCCTACTGCTGACCTTATTTTGGTAAGCAGTTCTCAGAATAGTGTTGTCAATAATTCAATTAGAGTTTGATTTTCTTCATACATTTGTTATCAGATTATGCTTTGTTGTTAGGTGATGAAGGATGGGAAGATTACTCAATGTGGAAAATATAGTGATCTGCTCAACTCACGCACTGATTTTATGGAACTTGTTGGTGCTCATAAAGGAGCTTTGTTTGCACTTGATTCAGTAGATCGAGGGAAAGCATCTGATAGAGTAAGTACATCACAAGAGGATGTAAGTGTCTTTGTTTCTCATGGTATTGGAGAAAATAAAGTAAAGAAAAATGAGCAAAATGGTGGAAAAAATGATAAATCTGATCCAAAAGGCCAGCTTATCCAAGAAGAAGAGAGAGAGAAAGGTGAAGTTGGGTTTTCAGTTTATTGGAAATATGTAACAGCAACATATGGGGGAGCACTTATACCATTCATATTGTTGGCTGAAATTTTGTTTCAACTTCTCCAAATTGGAAGCAACTATTTGATGGCTTGGGCAACTCCTGTCTCAACTGATGCTGAGCCACCTGTTGGAGGAAGTACTCTTATACTTGTATATGTAGTTTTGGCCATAGGAAGCTCAGTCTGTATTCTTGCAAGAGCAACACTTGTTGCCACAACTGGTTATAACTCAGCTACTTTACTCTTCAATTCTGCATTTTTCGAGCTCCAATGTCATTTTTCGATGCCACTCCAAGTGGGAGAATCCTTAATAGGGTATGTGGAACTATGCATATCACACCATCTATTTCTTATGTTATGATTTTGAGAAGAACATATGAATCTTCAATATCTTTTTGGGCAAATTCTATGCTACTTGCAGGCTTCTACTGACCAAAGTGCAGTGGATATAGACGTTCCTTTTCAAACTGGATCGTTTGCTTCCTCTGTAGTTCATCTTCTTGGAATTGTAGCAGTAATGTCTCAAGTTGCATGGCAGGTTTTCGTTGTCTTTATTCCTGTTACAACAATTAGCATTTGGTATCAGGTATTTTATTTTGCACCATGTTGCCTTTGATGATTGACTGGATCATTTGCCAAATTTGTTTATCATGTTATAAGTTGACATTTTAAAAACTTAAACTTCATCAGCAATATTATTTGCCATCAGCCCGACAACTATCACGTTTAGTTGGGGTATGCAACGCTCCTGTCATTCAGCACTTTGCTGAAACAATATCAGGTTCATCAACCATCAGGAGCTTTGATCAGGTTCCAAGATTTCAGCAAACAAACATGAAACTGGTGGACGGATATTCTCGCCCCAAGTTCAATAATGCTGCTGCAAGGGAATGGTTATGCTTCCGATTAGATATGTTGTCTTCTATTACATTTGCCTTTTGCTTGATATTCTTGATATCTATTCCACATGGATTCATAGATTCAGGTATGAAGTATCTTATTTACCAATCAAAGTGTGTGCATTCATAATGGGGCATTAGAGCATAATCCCCCAACCTTCTTTTTCTTGCTTTTGAAGGTATTGCTGGTTTAGCTGTAACCTATGGCCTTAATCTGAACATTATACAATCATGGATGATATGGGAACTTTGTAGCTTGGAGACCAAAATTATATCAGTGGAAAGAATTCTTCAATATACTTCCATTCCTAGTGAGCCTCCTCTTGTTATAGAGGAAAACCAACCACATGATTCTTGGCCATCATGTGGCAGGATTGATATTCACAACTTGCAGGTAATTGGAGTTCTTAATATGTTTGCATTTTATTTTCTTTTCATTTTGTTGTTGATTTACCAAACTCGAGTCAAGGTGTTTTATCCACTTATATTTTGAAGTTAGCTTCTGAACAATAAAGTTTTCTGACTTTAATGTAAGATTTGTCTGAGCTTGTGGCATAACCATTAGTCTAGTGTTTGATTTTTGTGGCATACACTTGATGAAGGTGCGTTACGCTCCACACATGCCATTTGTGTTGCATGGCTTTACATGTACATTTCATGGAGGACATAAAACTGGAATTGTTGGGAGAACAGGAAGTGGTAAATCAACTCTCATACAAACACTATTCCGAATTGTTGAGCCTACTGTTGGGAGAATTATGATTGATGGCATCAACATCTCATCCATTGGACTTTATGATTTGAGGTCTCGACTGAGCATTATTCCTCAGGATCCAACCATGCTTGAAGGTACTGTGAAAAGTAATCTGGATCCACTTGAAGAGTACACAGATGAACAAATTTGGGAGGTGGGTTGGTTTTAGTTGTCTCCCAAAATGATAATAGATTCTATCTAAAACATTGCACTTGTGGTTGTTCTTCAAATTAGCAATTCCTTCACTCGTTTGAAATTCTTTTATGTAGGCCCTTGACAAGTGCCAACTTGGAGATGAAGTAAGAAGGAAAGAAGGAAAACTAGACTCTGCAGGTTTGTCTTTTAAATTTGTTGAACATAAATATACATGACTTTAATTTAAATACATGCATAGTGCAGAAGTTTTTTACACTGTTATCCTGTTATAGATTATTATAATTTGTCATGTGTGATACAATCATTTAATAACTAATTTTAAAATATTATTTAGAGTGGTCCATAATTGGTTATTGTTAAAATCTTATACTCTAGTATGCTCATATTGTTTATTAGTCAAGGTTAATGGAACAAGCAAGTCTCAACAAACGATAATATTCAATCAAATAGTAACCACAAACCAAGAACCCAAATATTAAAATAGAGTAATAGTAACTTTGTAAATTTATTTTTGCATTTAATATCTCAGAAATCAACATTTCAAAGTATAATAAGGAATACAAAGAAACTCAAATCTCTATTCATCTGTGAAATTAGAATCTACTCCTCTTCAATGCCATGCCTGAAATGGAGCATAGAAGTTTGATGACTAAGAGTAATACAGCAAGACAGAGACATAAATGGGGCTGCCCAGACAATGTTCAGTGAGCATATTTAGAGAGAAGGATTTTCATACCGCCTAAAATTCTTCCTCCCCTACACGTAGTCCTTCCATTTAGTATTCTCTTTCCTGGTTCTGCCACTTTTGTGCACGTCCTTCACCTTTTCATTTGTTGACACATGGTCATTACTAATAACAATTTCACTCACCTCATTGTTGTTACATTACTCCCCCCTATAAAAGCAACCTTGTTCTCAAGGTTGAAACATGGGTATGCTATTTTCATTTCATCGACTTACTCCCATGAATTATCCAAATTTAAACCAGAATCCCATTGGACCAAGACTACAGACACCACCTTTCCATTTCTAGTGACCACACGAGTATCCAAAATTCGATGTGAGCACATCAATGGTCCAAATTCATTTGTTTTCAAAGGTAAAGGAAAGTATGGTTGATTATGATCTCCCTTAAAAGGTTTCAATAATGAAACATGAAACATGAAACACTGGATATATTTTAGCAGATTCTAGTAGCCGAAGTTTATACGCTACTTTGCCAATCTTCTAAAAAGTTTCAAATGGTCCAAAATACCGCAAGCTCAACTTTTGATTCTTCCTTAAAACTACCAAATGTGTTCTATAGGGTTGTAGTTTAACCAAAACCCTATCCCTCACTTGCAACTGCACATCTCTACTACGTTTATCAGCCTGCAACTTCATATAATTTGTGACTGGTGTAATTTGGCTTTAAGCTTAATTAAAAGCTTATCTCTGGCTTGTAAAGACTCCCTAAGATCTGGTGCATCATTATTGTTATATTCATACCGTAATATCGGTGGCGGTGATTTTTCGTAAACAGCCTGATACGGAGACATGGCGATACTCTGATGAAATGAGGAATTATACCAAAATTGAGCCCATGGTACCATGTCCACCCAAATTTTAGGATGCTAAAAAACAAAGCACTTTAAATACATCTCCAATGTTTTGTTTAAATTTTTGGTTTGCCCATCAGATTGTGGGTGGTACGTAGATGACATGGCTAAATTGGTACTTTGAGCTTTGAATAACTGCTTCCAAAAGTTACAGATAAACACTCGATCTCTATCCGATACAATCGTTTTTGGAAACTCATATAACTTTATGTTCTAGATAAAAGCTTTTGTCACCAACTTGCTATTAAAGCTAGGTTTCGGTAGTATTAAATGGGCAAATTTAGAAAGCCTGTCTATAACCACCATAATGTTAGAGTAGTCATGTGACAAGGGAAGTGAGGTGATAAAATCGATTGAGATGTTTTCCCAAATCAGTTTTGGTATGGGAAGTGGTTGAAGTAAACCCGCAGGCAAGGACTGACTTGCTTTTGCTTGCTGACATATGGTACGTATAAATTGTCGTATATCTTCCCTCATATTAGGCCAGTAGAGTTGAACACTAATTCGTGCCACCGTACAATGAATACCTGCATGACCCCCAATTTTAGACGAATGAAATTCAGTCATCATCGTCCTAATTAACTTTTCCTCTCAAGGAATCATAATTCTTCCCTTCCATGTAAGAACCTCTTGGTGTATTGCATAGTCTCCACTTCTTCTAGCATTTGTGTAACAATCATTATATATTTTCATCAAATGTTGATCTTGCTTTATGACCTCTTCTAATGTCGTTAACCACTCATGTAAAGGCTCAGACCACGCCATATCAAAACTTCTAGATAATGCATCAGCTGGGATATTTTCCTTTCCAGGGGAGTATTGAATTGTAAAATCATACCCCAAAAATTTTGGAAGCCATTGTTGCTGCTCCGGCGTTTGAAGCTTTTGATCCAACAATTCCTTAAGGCTTTTCTGATATGTTTTAATAATGAATTTGTGTTCCAACAAGTAGTGTCGAAACTTAGCCATGGATTTAGTGATAGCATAGAATTCTCTAGCATATGTTGATTGTCTTTGCATCCTTGGTGATAATTTCTTTGAAAAATATGCAATGAGATGTTTGTTTTGGCTTAACACCGCACCAATACCCAAACCAGAAGCATTTGTTTCTAATATAAATTTTTCAGCAAAGTTCGGAAGAGCGAGTACCGGAGGAGTTGTAAGAGCTAACTTTAACTCTTGAAAGGCCTGTTCTGCTTATGTGGACCACTTGAATGCATCTTTCTTCAATAAATCAGTGAGTAGTGCAGTTATTTGAGCATATCCCTTAACAAAGCGACGATAATAACCTGTTAAGCCCAAAAAGGCTCTTAACTGTTTGACTGTAGTAGGTTTACTCCACTTAATGACTGCTTCCAATTTCTCAATCTCCATCCTGACGCCATCTCCAGACAACCTATAGCCTAAATATCCAATCTGCTGAACTCCAAAAGTGTATTTGGAGAATTTAGCGAATAACTGATTTTGTTGTAGAATATTTAACACTAACTCAAGGTGTTGCAAGTCACCTTTCCAATTAGCGCTATACACCAAAATATCATAAAAAAAACTACTACAAATATCCTCAAATAGCCACTGGAAATTTGATTCACAAGGCATTGAAAGGTTGCAGGCACATTTGACAATCCAAATGACATTACAAGCCATTCATATAAACCTTCATGTGTACGAAAAGTCGTTTTATGTCGATCATCCGGATTCAACAATATTTGATGATATCCAGACTTTAAGTCCATCTTGGAGAAGTAACGAGCTCCATAAAGTTCATCAATCAATTCATCAACTGTCGAAATAGGAAAACTATCCTTAATTGTGATAGCATTTAATGCTCTGTAGTCATTGCATACTCTCCATGATCCGTCCTTTTTCTTGACCAAAATAATTGGAGAAGAAAAGGAACTGGTGCTAGGCTGAATCAGACCCTCTATTAACATGTTCTCAACCAACTTTTTTATTTCCTCTTTTTGGCTATGTGGATACTGATACGGTTTCACCTTAACTGGGTTTGATCCTTCAAGTAAAGGAATTGAATGGACTTGAGACCTACTAGGAGGTAGTCCACAAGGGGTAGAGAAAACCTTGCTGTAAGTGTGTAATAACAAAGCTAACTCCGGTTCCATGTCATCCGGTAATTCCAATAAAGGACATGAGTGCATTTCCTCTTGTAACAGTTGCATACTATACACTTCTACAATCACATCTTTATTCATCTTTCTTCATATCTGATGTAATTGAACGTGCTGCATACTCGTATCATCCTCACCTTGTAACATAGTAAATTTTCCTTGATGTAGAAAATTGATTTGTAAAGAATTATAATCAATCAAATGAGGACCAATAGTCTTTAACCATTTGGCTCCTAATATGAGATTTGCACCTGAAATTGGCAATAGAAAAATTGGTAAAGTGAACATATGACCTTGTGTGTTCACTCGTAGTTGTTGTATCATTCCTTCTGCTTGCATTTAATTGCCTTTCCCACCATTACCTTAAAGCTTGGGCCTGTCTCCACTGGAAGTTGCAAAAATTTTGCTACTCGTCATTGCAAAAAGTTGTCTGAGCTTCCACCATCAATCAACACCTTAACTAACTTGGAACCAATTATTAAGTGCCAAAAGTTGATGTAATTATGCTTTGAATTGTTATTTAACCACTTAAATTATGTTGATTCTAATTTATTTTTCTCCCAATGTAGGATGAATTTATAGAGTATTTGGGTACAAGAGCAAGGATCATAATTCTCAAGTTAATTAAAGAAAAATTAGAAAGAAGGAAGAAGATTTTCAGCCTAAGATTCACTCGAGCGGGATAGACGCTCGCTTGAGCGAAAATACGTTAAATCTCTTTGGAAGTCAGTCGCTCAAGCAAGCAAATTCTCGCTTGAGCGAAAATCATTAATACTTGCTTGAGCGAAAATATCCGCTTAAGCGAATGATGCGAGGCCTAAATTCTTCTATAAATAGATAAGACGCATTTTGAGATGAATATTAGGTTTTTGGACAAGAGGCGCGACGACTGTTCTGTTCTTCATCAATTCTTCAATTCTTCTCCATTTGGATGCTTGTAATGACCATCATGAGTGGTTAACTTCATTATCTTAGGATTGAGTACACTTTCTTTGAACTTTTTTGTATCTTGGTGATATTTTGCGATATTAATCTATGTTCTTGATGTTATTCTTATCCTTTGTGCCTTTGAACATTTGCTCTTGATGTTTGGGATATGATTGAAAAATATATCTTGAACCCTAGATCATGGTAAGAATATTTGTTACGTTAATTGTCAGGAATGAAATGAATGTATCAATTGCTTAAGACCTTAAACCTAATACTGGGAAATTTATTAAATGTATGAGGAATCGACGTTTATTAGGTTTTCTTATGAATTTTATGTATGAGGAATCAATGTGAATGATTTAAGTAAGTGACATCAACATTGATAGGTTAATTTATGTTCTTAATTTGACCTAGTCATTATACAAAAGAGGAAAAATGAATTAAACCAATCCTAAGTTATTTTATTTGATATTTTCTAAAAACATTTTACAATTCTTTGTCATTTATTTTTAACCCAAATTTTTATGAAAAACTCAATTTGCTTTAATCCACTTAGTAAGCATATGATTTGGAATTTTCAGTGAAACCGTTCCTCGTGGAATTGACTTTTATTTAATTGAAATACTATACTACGATTGATAATTTTGGTACGCTTGTCAAATATTCAACACCAACATGAACCACAAATTTAATGGTTCCCACTCCTAAGCCCCCTTAAGAGACAAATGGTGGTCATCTGTCTCTACCTACTACTTTAGACGCAGTGGGCTTCTCTTCCACAATTTCCACGGTATCCACCAAATCATCTTGAGCTAACTGGAACAAATTTAGTTGGTGGTCGGGGTACTTGAGATTAAATGAGAATTTCTCATCTAAAAAACAACATAAATCCTTTTAATGCTTGAGTTTCATTTCTACTGAAGTGATACGTTCCACATTGGTAGTCTTGAAAGGTGGTCCTGGAGGATTGGGTAATAACGGTGGTTACAGAGACTTTGTGCTAGGAATGGTGATTTTAGGAGCCTTGTTAGCCACTGTTGCACTAGCAGAGGTAATAAGAGAAGGCTGGGTATATATGGGATTATGCATCACTTGTGATGATACATTGGGCTAATACTTATTCTCGTAAAGCTTAGCCAAAGTCACTGCTCTCAATAAAGACTGGGAGATAAAGCCATAACATCCCATTTAATGTCCACGTTTAAATCGCTGATGAAACAAGTCAAAATGGCATCCTAGTTAATCCTTTAGATCTATTAGCCCATGACAAAAACTTCATATAATAATCTGATACTGAACCTTGTTGCTGCAACTTAAACAACTCTACCATGGGACAATCAAAGGGAGAAGGCCCAAATTGAGATTCCAAAGCTTTTGTAAGAGTTGCGCATGTGGTCACGACATCAATTTTTTGTAGCATCTAGAACCAAGGAACAACCTCCTTCTCGAAATGCATTGATGCAATCTCAACACGATCTGCATCTGGAGTGTTGTGGTAGGAGAAAAAATTGTCTACTTTGAATATTCAGTCCAACACTAACACATACCCATCGAAATGGGGAAACCCCAAAGAAATATCTCTACTCGGTGAAATTGTTGTAATAGGAGAACCCTTGATCGTGGACCCTGAGTTCGATGGGCTTCCATGATTGTTCGCAAAATTCAATAACAATTGTTGCAACGATGCTTTAATTTTGTGCATCATCGATTCTTGTGCTTGATTCTTCGCCTCCATTGATTTTTGAAGTTTTTCCACAATTATAGCTAATCGACCAATATCCTTGACATTAGTACGAATTTCTGACTACATATCTTTCATTCTCGTGTTTTCCGCCATGAAAGTCAATGAAAGCATCGAATGGAATAAGCAAGCCTCAACAAACGATAATATTCAATCAAAATAGTAACTACAAACCAAGAACCAAATATTAAAACAGAGTAATGGTAACTCTGTAATTTATTTTTGCATTCAATATCTCAAAAATCAACAGTTCAAAGTATAATAAACAATACAAAAAAACTCAAATCTCTGTTCATCCGTGAAGTTAGAATCTGCTCCTCTTTAATGTCATACCTGCAATGGAGCACAGAAGTTTGGTGACTAAGAGTAATACAGCAAAACAGAGACAGAAATGGGGCTGCCCAGAGAATGTTTAGTGAGCATAATCAGAGAGAAGGATTTTCATACCGCCTAAAATTCTTCCTCCCCTACACGTAGTCCTTCCATTTAGTATTCTCTTTCCTTATTCCGCCACTTTTGCACATGTCCTTCACCTTTTCATTTGTTGACACATGGCCATTACTAATAACAACTTCACTCACCTCATTGTTTGTTACAGTCAATAATAGTTTGTAGACACTCCTCTTTGAACTTATTAAGACGATTTTTAAGGACAAAATTTGTCATGATCCTTATGATGGAACATTGTTTAGAAGCATGTTCAAAAGAGTGTGTTGCTGGAACAATATATTGATTCAAATGGAACTAGATGCGCATATCATAAAGTGATTAGAAAAAAGGAAATCTATTAAGAGTGATCAGTGTGGTTTCCTAACTGATACAAGTGATCAGTAAAACCAATTGATTATTCTGTGTGTTGCTAATACTCTTAATACTTACTACATAAATCATTTTTTGTCAAAATGGATGCTGCAGTTTGTGAGAATGGAGAGAATTGGAGTATGGGCCAGAGGCAATTGGTCTGTCTTGGTAGGGTGCTGCTTAAGAAGAGTAAGGTCTTGGTGCTAGATGAAGCTACTGCATCAGTTGACACAGCCACAGATAACTTGATTCAGCAAACACTCAGGCAACATTTTTCTGATTGCACAGTCATTACCATTGCACATAGAGTAACCTCTGTCATTAATAGTGATATGATTCTAGTACTTAATCAAGGTGAGAAAAGACTTTAATATTACATTTTTTTTTTCAACTTGAGCCTCTTTAATGTACATTTGTGACATTGATGCAGGACTTATTGAGGAGTATGATTCCCCAGCAAGGTTGCTAGAGGACAAGTTATCTTCTTTTGCTCAACTTGTGGCAGAGTATACCACAAGGTCCAATTCCAGTTTTGACAATTAAGATTTTTTCTTTTCTCTGTTGTTGTTTGAATGGCATCAAGTTGAAAAAAATTACAATGGCATCGTCCTATTATTGTACTCTTTAAATTACAACTATAAAAACTCAATAGTTCCTGTGTATCATTAATTAGACAAATCTTATGTCATGGATGATTGTAGGATAATTAAGATTAAATGCAAAACGGCGAAAATATTGGTTTTTCTCGAAGGTTTATCAGATAAAATATCTATCCTAGTGTTCTTATTATTCATTATTTACAAGTATCATATTATCATATTTTTTCTTTACTTAAGCGTAAGAGTATGTTAATATTTTTAATTGGACCAGATTAAAGAATAATATAGTTTAAAATTAAGAAAGTTACTTAACATAAATGCTAAAAGCACTCAAATTATTAAAAAGATTGGTAATTTCTTTATCAACAAACAATTAAAATCATAATCACCATAATCGAAGACACATCTAATGAACAATTTATCTTGAAAGGAAATCTTTTGAATCTTTTCTTATCCTAAACAACACCAAATCTAATTAAAATAAATCAGTGGATTATTTTTTTAAAAGATGATAATAAAAGAAAGGATAAGTTTATTTAGCTAACTATAATAATTAACTAGAAAGAATGTTGAATAATTTTTTGAAGTTTTTCAATCTTAATATGTATAATTTTGGTCAGAATAAAACATATATTTACCTTACTTAGGTTGATGAGGAGGGGAGATAAAACTAGAAAATTTGTTTTTATGATATTAAGGTAGTTAGGATAGTTAGTTAGGATAGTTAGTTTGTATAAAGTCAAACAAGCTAAACTTTGAATAATTAAATATGTTAAAACAACGCATTAATAATCGATTAAATAAAGGGATAATCGATTATATGATTTAAAATTAAGTTTTCATAAAACACGTTAAAAATCGATTATATGATTCACCTAATCGATTATTTACCAAAAATTTTGTTTTAACATAATACGCTACTAATAGATTAGATAAATAGTTAATCGATTATATGACTTAAAATTCAATTTTTATAAGACGCACTAATAATCAATTATATGTGGTTACTTAATCGATTATTTGTCAAAAATCTTGTTTTAACATAACGCGCTAATAATTGATTATGTAAACACCTAATCGATTATCTGACTATTTTTAAACTATCACTGCACTCAAAAAATCGATTAGATAAATATCCTAATCGATTATATTTGTGACAGTTACAACAATTTTCTTTTTATAAAATGATGCAAACTTTCTTTAATCAATATCAATTTTTAAATACAAACACAAACAATTAGAAAAAACGTTTTGGGCATCAAGGAAATAACATAATTCTGCAAGAGATTTTGAAGTTCAATTTCAAAGAAAGGTTGTTTGACTGTATGTGCATAATTCTATAAATCCAAGGTGCATTCGTTTCATCTCTTTCTTTCATATCCTGTTCTTAAATTTTGATGTATGTAAGATTAGCTACATCAAGGTAACTTAAAAATTATGAGGTAGAATATTTTCAAGTATTGTGATCTTGACTAGAGGTTGTTGTTAATCAAGATTATTTGATTAGATTGTAAATTTGTTATTGAGTGAAAAACTCTAAGATAAGGTTGTTTGGTTAAAACTGGATGTAGATTTAAGAAGAATCGAATCATTATAAATTTGTGTGTCTTTTCTTCTTTTCTCTATCTTGGTATACTTGTTTTCTGTAAATTATGATAATTCTTTCATAATTAATTATCAGAAAAAGTTATTTAACTAATTGATTAAAAATTTAAAAGATATTTGAAGACTCAATTCACACCCTCCTGATAAAATCTTGTAATTAACATTTTACTAACAACTTATTTATTAGTGATGATTATTATTTTGATGGTGAAATATATTTATAAAAATAACACGTGTTAAAAATCTAAAATTATTGATAATTTAAATAAATTTGGTGAAACAAAATGCATACTTAGAGTATAAATTAAATATTTATTATTATGTATGTTGTTTATTCTTTTATTTATAATTTATTGTATTTTTTAAAATGTTTAATGAAAAGTAATATTTAACTAAAAAAATATTGTGTTATGAAAAAGGAAAATATAAGAGTGTCAATAAGTATAATAACATATTTAAACCTAATTTGAATTCTTAAATTAATACTGGAAAAAAAATATACTTAATTTGTAAAAGGTGATAATAGTGGTGAAGAAGTTTGTGGAAGTTTGCCGCCGCAAAGATATCTTGTTCCGAAGAAGAATCGTCACCGCTTTCCTCTGTCTTCGTGTGATCGAATTCGCAAACCATCATTTCATATAAATTTGACGTTTGCCTCTCTCAGTTTATGTCCTTGCATTACCCTTTTCTCACTCTCACCTTCCAACGTGTAAGAATCGGTGCTTTCTCTTACGTTCGTGTTTGTCTTTGAGTTTATGCATTTTCTTTTTCACCTCTGTGATTTTTCAGAAGCAGAAAGGGAAAGAAGAAGAAGTTGACACATGATATGGCCAAGAGACGGAGCAATGCTAGCAGAAAGTTATCTCAGCGCCAGGTAATGTAACCCGTTTGTTTGTCCTTCATTTCATCGATTTTACTCATTTGGGCCTTCACCATTTACTGTTATCATCACTCTTTTGTTTGCATGTCTCTTTTAAGGGGGGCATAATGTGTTTTTTATTCCCTGATACCGGGGTATAGAACGTTTGGATTACCGATTGTTCTTTTTAGAAGTGCTTTTATGCTAAAGAAGCAAAACAGTATCATTCTCTAAAAGTATATTTAACGTCCAAAAGTGTTTTTTAAAAGGGTATCAGAACATGCATACAAACATGCACGTAGTCAAGTCTCTGAACTTTCGTATAGATCAGTGTGATATCCGAACTTGTAGAAGGAAACGCGTGGATTTAGTCGCTTCTAATTTTCAAAAGCTGTGATGAAATTTTGGAAAGCAGATAATAATTCATGCGTTTTTTTAAATTTGGGGGCCAAATTCATCGATATGAAAATGCAGTGACCTTGACTACTTGTGACCGTAGAGGTACTAAAATTACATTTTTTTTTTGTTCAGTTTTTATTCAGTCTAGTTACTGTTAATATTCTATTTTTTAGTGACTAGTTTGAATGTCAGTTTTGTTAATGCCTTGAATGCGTGTCTGTCAATCTGTTTATAGGAATGGTCGATTTGAAAACTCGATGAAGTTTTTTGTTTGGGGATAGATAGTTCAAGTTGAATATAAAAAAGGAATATAAGTGTTGATTGGATTAGTAGATTGAAACTTGAGATTGAAGTTCTAAAGTTTTGGGTTAATGAGGGACTTCAAAGGGGATTTTGTTTCTGTCTTGCTAGATAGAAGGACTGAATTTTTTTAACTTATATATGTAATTCTTGTGCATGAATCTGGTGGTTGCTTTGTCTTTTGGGCTGCTTATTGATTCTGTGGTCTTTACAGCTTTTTCATTATTCTTTTGGGAAACCATCACTCGAAGAGTTTGCGCTCTATAATGTTCTATTTCATATTTGTATTGGTCGTGCCATGTACTGCTTATTTTGAATTTTGAAACTATGAATACTTTTCTTCATATGTTTTGCCATTCTTGCAAGGAAGAAGCCCCCTTGTCAAGTTGATGGGTATCATGCATCTCTGTAATATTTCTGCTAGATTTTCTTTGTATATTATTGAAACTGATCTTTGTGATTTACTCCTGCAATTTAGTTATCTGATTTTAGTGAATGCATTGAAAGTGTGGAGTCTACAACGTGTTTTGATTCTGCATGTTGGCTTGGCAACACTAATTTTCAACTTTTACCTTTGATCCTAAAACATGATAAAAAGCTACATATTATGTTTTTGGGTTGTATAGTTTGGTTATTTTACACCCTTTGGTATGCCTCTGTTTTATAGTGACCTCGTCCTTTTATAACCATGTTCTCAACGTATTCTAAATTGTTAATTTTGTGATAATTGCAGATGACAGAGAAAGATCGGAATAAAGTAAAAGCTTCAATGAGTCATCCAATGAAAACTCGTGGTAGACCACGGAAGACATCTCAAATTCCAGCAGCTGCGTCACCACATACGAAAGTATCTTGTCCTTCAGATCCACCTGCTAGGACATCTATTGTGACACCTCTACCTTCAATACAACAGGTACACACTCCGTGTACTCCACAACTAATAAATTTAGATTCAGAGTGCACCCTTCGATCAAAGTTTGGATTAGAGACACAGAGCAATGATGGCAAGCCAATGCTATACCTTGATGGGCAAGGGTATGTTGTTCTATTTTGTTACTTATTCAAATCTTTAAAACTTGTGTCCTTTATCATTTAGCGTTTGCAGATTCTTACCTTCACGCCTTGCTGCTAATGGGATTGGGGATATCATCGTAAATCATTACACTGATGCTTGGCCATCATGGAAGAAGATACCAATTAGAACAAGAGACTCGATGTTCCGAGATTTTTTGGTTAGATTTCATATATTGATGACTACATTCAATTTGGATATGTATATTTAGTCTACTTTATTTACTAACTTGTTTTCTTATATATATAGACAAAGTTTTCTATTAGTCCACCAGATTTCAGTTGGGCAAAAGGGAATTTTGAAAAGCGAGCTACAATACTGATGACAAATAAGCTAGTTAAGGCTCGATCCGCAGTGGATAAACCAAATTGGATTGCGGATGGAGTCTGGGAGAAATTGTGCCAGCATTGGACATCTGAAGGATTTAAAAAAAAGAGCGCCCAAGCAAAAACTAATCGAGCATCTAAATATGCAGCATCTCACACTGGTGGCTCTATTTCTGCATCTCAGCACAGAGTTAATATGGTAAAGTTGTCACCTAATATTATTTGTTCTTTTGTTCATCTCATGATTTAGTGTAAAGAGCCCACTTGCGTCCACAATGCATGAGTTTTGTAATCAATTGTCTATCTTAATTTTGTGAGTTCTGTGATCATTTCATTGTTTACTGTTGCTAAAGTAAGTTTTTAACTTGATTTTGTAAATCTTACCTTCGACTTCATTTTAATACTTAAAATATTCTCTTGTTTAAAAAACATGATTTTTTTTTTTCTTTAGCAACTTTGCACAGTTTTTACATAACCAATGTTATGTCATTTGTTTTCAGAGAAAAAAATTGTTAAGCAACGTTGCTTAACTTCAAATTGTTTTTGCAAGCAACTGTGTTGGAGATGACTTTAAAAACTAACAAGTTTTGAACTTCATTTCATTGTTCCATGTTAGATGAAAGAGACTGGAATCGCTCCTTCTCCACTAGAGTTGTTTCGTCGCTTGCACCAACGTAAGGACAAGACATGGGTGGACTTGAGATCAAAATATCTAGATGTAATGAACTCTCACCTTTATAATCATGTAACTGACTATGATGGTGTTTTATTCTATTTTTTGTGTTAGGAAACACTTATTAGGCTTATATTTGGTTATGATAGGAGGCATTTACCGGAGCATTGAACCAATTGACCAGAAGAGCACTGGCGCAAGGAAAGCCTCCACCAAGTGAGTTAGATGTGTGGTGTGATGTAGCTAGATCGAAGAAAGGAAAACTGTATGGGCTGGAAGTAGAATCTACAACAGTTAGAGGAAGGTCTTGCCATCAGGGTTCATGTTCATCAATGGAGTTGGTGAAACAACATGAGTTTGATGAACTGAGGAAGGAGATTGAAGAAGTAAGAAAAGAAAGAGATGAGCTTCAGGCCAAAGTTGCAAATACTGAGCGGCTTCTTGAGGAGAACAATGCATTGATTCGACAGATGATGGAATGCATTAATGGTCAGCCTATGTCATCCATGCACTCTGGAGGAAAGTCAAGGCTTGGACGAGACAAAGTCATGTTTGGATTTGGCAGCAGTAATTTAGGAAAGAGATTTTAAGTTTCATGAACTTGGGTGGCAGTTAAATATGAAGGATTTGGCAGACTTTGTGGACCTAACCAGATTATCATTCCTTCCAATAATTACATGAAATTGGAAGGGTATTTTGAAAGTCCAACTTTTGTTTTGCTTTGAAATGTTAAGAAGTTATGTTTCTCAGTTTGTATCTTTTTTCTTTGCTTTAAACTGTATTATTTAGTAACAAAAATATAATATTTTTCACTACATCTTTTACCCATCCAAACAAGCAAATAAATCTTGTATTACTTCTATCAATTTCAATATTTTCCTCGAGGTTTCATCTCTAATCTAAACAAAAGTGAACTGTACTCATTGATCTTGATGTTCCATCGAGTCTTCGGAAAAAGATTTTTTATTTTTCATAACTAGTGAATCATGATTCTTGAACGAAAACTATTCCAATATTTTATTTGACTTACTATATTAAAGAGTTATATGGAGTAAATTTTTTATTTTTATCTAAACAAAGTTGGATTCCCAATTTATCTCATGTGTGTGTTTTGTGAAAAAAAATTGATTAAAATTAGAGACACAACCCTCAAGTATTTCTCCCTTTACAAGTTTGTAATCTAACAAGGGATAACACAAACAAGTTTGATTTTGGCAGTTTATCTTTCTGGATATGAATTCCTACATTTGTTTACTCATTTAAATTTGGATTCCTTACACCTTACAGTAGTTTGACATTGCTTGGCTTGACATGAAAGGTTCAAGGCTTTATTGAATATGATTGTCACAAGCATGCTGGCATATTCGAATTCCAACCTGCTGCAACCTAAAGAGCCAGTGACTCTTTGTGAGCACTGGATTATCTTATTGGGAATTGAAGGTGGTCGTGGTCCTCCCAAAGTTTTGTAACTTCAATGTAATTTATGATTTTGACCCTCCAAACATAATGAACATTTAATATATTTACTTGTATATTTACAATTTTATCCTCTCGAGTCCCTCCTCGGTTTTGTAACTCTCATATCATTTATGATTTTGTTCCCTCAAACTTAATGATCATTTAATATATTTAAGTATATATCTACAATTTTATCTTTTCACTCTTTCATCTTCTTTCTTCCTTTTATATTTATTAATAATATATTATTTGGCCCCCAAGATCAATGATCAAGATCCGTCATCTGTTTGTGAGACACTCCACAAGCTTTGCCACAAAAAATGCAGACACAAAAACCAAATCTTCATTTTCAAATTGTTGTTTTCTAGCTGAAAGTATTCATGGATGTTAAACTCTGAATTCATTGGTTAATGTATAATGATATAACGGGCAGCAGACAAAAATATGTTGATAAATTCATTATAGACCGATTTACTTATTCATAGATAAATTTGTTGATAATTTTTATTTGGATTAAACCGACTTTTTTACAAAAGCTTCAATTTTTTTAAAATTTTATTAAAATGGATCACTTTTTAAAAAATTATGAAAGTGAGTTAAGTCCCATGTGCATGGAATTCATGATACAATTCATACAATATTAATGTATGATATCAAACCATGACATCATTAACAATAACAATTTATTTCACTAAATATGTGGAAGGACACATACACACTTATTGACCGGAGGTAACCATGAGCAAGAGCAATGATTTATTTGAAGGACTTAGAGGACCTATGATAAGGACTAGAGTAAAAGAATAAAAGGAAGCTCTTCAATAAGTGTTGTTCATATTATTTGAATACGAGCCCACATTTCAATATGAAAATACCAAAGTTGTAAATTTCATCATGACTCAAATGGAGGAGGACTAATACGTCACTTTGTTTCAGTTTTTAAATTTGTTTAAATAATGACCCAATCTTTTATAAAATTGGCTGACCAAATTATTTTTTGGGTTAATCAATTAATGAGTTTTAGTTTGGTTTTGTTTCAAGTTATAATAAGGGTCATATTGGAAACTTAGGCATAAGCTTTTGGAAGATCAAGAGGGTGCATAACTGATTGACTTTTGATTATCACAATTTTAGTTACAATTAGTCATTAAATAATTTTCAATTTCTAGGTTAATAGATCATTATTAGCATTTATTTGTCTTCATTAATTAGTTTTCAATTCTTAGATTAATGAATCATTATTAACATCTATTTTTCTTTATTGAGTCTTTGTAACTGTGATGGCAAAAACTTCTATATAAGCTAAACCATTTTTATCAAAAATACAAGTTGAGTTTTATTCAGAAATATTAGAGTTTAGAAATATTAGAATTTAACTTTTTTATCTTAATGAGAGTGATTCTCCTAAGTTCTTGAGTGATTCAAGAATCTTTGACTATATCAAAGGACTTTCACATCCTTTGTGAGATGTCTCTCTTGGGAAGAGTGATTCTTTTCTTCGACCTTTCACATTCATCTCTTGTCCATTATTCACCATAACCCAGAAACTCAATTCTATCCATATTTATTTTGTGGTCATATTTTTTGTTCTACTCGTCTAAATTGAGTATTTTTTTTAGCTTAAATTGAAATTTAGAATGATAACTTTCACCTTGTTTTTTAATCACCTCAATCAGAGTTTTATAGCTCGAGATATCGATGTATCTAAAATTTTGTCCAACCTTGAAACTTTCACCACTTTCTAATCCACCTTCTCACTAATTTCATAAATTTCCTACAAGGTTCTAACCTAAAGATCCTAAGTAAACCCTTGGGCAAATTAGATTCATATCAATTAGTATTTAGAGTTCGGATTTAAGGGTTTGAACGTCAAATCGATAATATATTTCCTTCATTATGTTTTTTACTAAGTGATTATTACTTTATTTTGTTCATATTATTTGTGATTGTGTTGAATTATTACAAAAAAAAAAATAGGCCCTTGTGAAAATTTAAAAAGTAATAAAATAAATTACAATATTTTATAATTTGGTTGAAAGTGATAAAAAATAAAATTGGACCTAATGATTCATGCTTTTGAACAATTTGTTGTAAGGTAATATATTAGTGATCTTGAAGGATTGTTGCTAATTTTCTTGTTTACCAATTTTTCTTTTACCCCTTTGTTCTTGTAATTTGTTAGTCTTTCTTGTCTACCTAGTCTTACTGTGCACACATATTGGAGGATTTGATTTATAAAGCAATAGTGGAGCAACAATTCAAAAGAAAATGAGTGGCCAAGAATAATTCTACCAACTTTGAATCTTCAAGTTGGAAGGATAGATGCAAGAAATATGGGGATGCTACTTCTATTAGTTCCACACCTATTTTGCAAAGACTCCTTCAAAGTCCCAAGAACAACCTTCTAAAAAATGTAGAGATGTGAAATGTTTTAAGTGTCAAGGCCTAGGATATTATACTTAAGAGGGCCTAACAAAAAGTCCATGGTTCTTAGAGAGGAAGAATATATAAGTGAATCTAAGGTTGAAGAGGCAGAGCAGAGTGAGGACATTGAGGAGGAGGAGACTCTAAAGGGAAATTTATTGATGATTAGGCAATTACTTGGTAGCCAATTGAAGTCTGCGAAAGAAAGCCAAAGAAAAAACATCTTCCACACTAGATGTTTAATCAATGGCAAAGTGTGCATGATGATCATAAATGGAGATAGTTGCACCAATGTGACTAATGCTAGATTAGTGTCAAAGCTAAAATTTAGTTACTAAACCACATCCTAGGCCTTATAAATTTCAATAACTTAGTAAGGATGTAGAGATGCAAGTGAGACAGCAAGTTGAAGTGGACATTTTCATTAGAAAATATAATGATAAAGTGCTTTGTGATGTTGTTCCTATGGAGGTCAGTCATTTACTTTTGGGGAGACCGTGACAATTTGATAAAAGAGTCAATCATAACATATTTACATCTCTTTCATACATCAGGACAAGAAGATTGTGCTCAAACTTTTGAGTCTACAAAAATGTGTGAGGATAAAAAGAAAATGAGAAAAAAAAACTTGTTCAAGAGAAGAGAGAAAAAGAAAGTTAGTGAAACACTTTGAGAGGAAAAAGAGTGAAACACTTGAAGTACGAGAGGGTTATTTAGCCACAAAAAGTGAGTATAATGTTGGTTTCACATTCAATGTGTTTGATTTATCCCTTTTTGATGTAGAAGGTAAATCCGATTTGAGGACAAATACTTTTCAAGAAGGAGAGAATGATGGGAACATAACCATGAGCAAGGTAAGGATTCACTTAAAGGACTTATGACAATGGCTAGAGTAAGGGAAGCAAAGGAAACTCTTCAATAAGTGTTGTCCATATTATTTGAATACGAACTCATATTTTAAGGAGAAAATATCAAAGTTGTAAATTGCATCATGACCAAAATGGAGGAGGATTAATGTGTCACTTTGTTTCAGTCTTTAAGTTTGTTTAAATAATTACTAAATCCTTTATAAATTTGGCTGGTCAAATTATGTTTTGGGTTAATTAATTAATGAACTTTAATTTGGTTTTGTTTCAAGTTGTAATAAGGGTCCAATTAAAAACTTAAGCATAAGCCTTTGAAAGATCAAGAGGGTGCATAGCTGATTGACTTTTGGTTGTTACAATTTCAATTACAATCAGCCATTAAGTATTTTTCAATTCCTAGATTAATGGATTATTATTAGCATCTATTTACCTCCATTAATTAGTTTTCAATTCTTAGATTAATGAATCATTATTAACATTTATTTTTCTTTATTTAATCTTTGTAACTTTGATGGCAAAAGTTTCTATATAAGCTGAACCATTTTTATCAAAAATACAAGTTTGAGTTTTATTCAGAAATATTAGAGTTTAACTTTCTTATCTTAATAAGAGTGATTCTTCTAAGTTCTTGAGTGATTCAAGAACTTTTGGTTGTATCAAAGGACTTTCACATCTGTTGTGAATTGTCTCCCTTAGAAAGAGTGATTCTTTCTTTCGACCTTTCACATTCATCTCTTGTCCTTTATTCACCAGAACCGAAAAAATTCAATTCTGTTCAGATTTATTTCATTGTCATACCTTTAATTCTACTCGTCCGTCCAAATTAAGTATTTTTTTAGTCTAAATTAAAATTCAAAACGAGAACTTTCACTTATTTTTGAATCACCTCAATCAAAATTTTATAGCTCCAAATATTCAATCTTTCTAAAATTCTATCTAATCTTAAAACTTTCATCACTTTTAATTCTTCTTCTCACTCATTTCCTAAATTTCCTATAACATTTTAATCCTGTTAGATTCCATGTCCGGCTCACGCAAATTAGGTTCATATCACTTATAATTTAATCTATTCAAAGAAAAATTTACCTTATTACTTCATACAAAATGAATGAAATAGTGAGGCTTGTGCATCTCTTCTACTGCATAATATATTTCAGAGTCATCTGTTATATATGTTGATCTTTTCTTGATGCGATCAAGTCTGAGCAAATACGAGATGAATCTGTGTAAAAAAAAAAAAAAACATGAACTGATATCAGAAGGGAAAATTTAATACGTAAACTATGGTGTTCTTTTGCTTTCTCCTTCTGTGCTCTGCATTAATTATTCACATATTATGCTTTATTGTTATCCGAGTCAAAAGAAGGAGTATATATATATATATATATATATATATATATATATATATATATATATATATATATATATATATATATATATATATATATATATATATATATATATATATATATATATATATATAAGCTATATGGTATCCATAGCATAGCATGCATTAATCACAGTCTTTTCAGCAGGAGAAAATAAATATTTATTTTGGTTAAAAGATTAAAAAAAATAAAAATAAAAAGATGAACATTACCTGATCTTAAAATGCAAAGATATTAGAACGGATAAAACAATTCTATCCATTCTTTAAAAAAAATAAAGTGAAGATTCATCCATTTACTTCTCATTTATTAAAAATTTATCACCTCAAAAGTCTATTATAAAAGAAATAAAATAGGACTTTTTTTTTAAAAGAAAGTCTTATTAAAATAAATAAAAAAAACACAACAAACCTGCTTTTTGAAAGCGCGTCGAAACACGTGCATTGAAATTGAAAGGTTAGCTAACATTTCGGATTGACAAAACTGATTAATGCTACCCTAAATGGACCAAAGAAACATTAATATATTTTTATCCAAATTAAGAAAAATTAAAATTTATTATCTTTTTAAAATATATATTATTTAAATATATCTATGACAAGTGATTTTTTTTTATAATATTTTATTTTCTACTTTCTCTCTCCCTTAACTCTTTTCCCTCTTTTTTTTTTTTTTTAAACTCTATCTGTGATTCTAATAATTGATAATTTCATAAATAAATATTTATATTTTAAAATTAATATATGCATTAAATATTAATAAATAAAAATACAGACAAATAAAATATGTTTTCAAAAATGTAAATAAAATCAATTTAATTTTTAAACATAATTATTTAATAAAAATTTCAAAAATTATATATTTTAATAAAATAATATTATTTTTAATATTTTAAAAGTAAAATTATTATTTTTATTTTAAACGTAAGCTTAAAAACTTATTTAAAATCATTTGAAAAGCTTCAAATTAAATGGAGTGAAACAAAATTATCCGTTTTAATATAAGTTATTATTTTTAGGATTTAGAATTTAAAATTTACTATTTAAAAATTAAAATTTATGATTCAAATATAAAGTTTAGAGTATAGGAATTTACATTCTATTGAATCTAATTAAACTTACTTTGTCGTCTATAGCCGTCGAATAGTGGTAGTAGGACCACGCCAACACAACACCGTGAACCAAAAGCCAAGCAGTGCTCACTATGACCTTCATTTGTCCTAAATGTTCGAAGTTGGTATCATTCATGACTTAAGGTTTTCAACGGGTCTTTCAAGTATAATTTCATTAATCTAAATTGTTGGTTTGATCTTTAAAGAACTCTTATATTGGTGCACAGTCAATTAGTCAAACATGGAAAAAATCTGCCCAATAAATGAAGCTTCTTGCCTGGTTCTGCTTCTTGAAGTAAAGGTGTCATATCATATAATCTTCTACTGCTCTTACTCTTCTCTCACTACTCTTCTTCCGTGATGCACCATCCAACTCAATTTTTCTCCTGTGTTTCACTCCACCTGGTCTAGTGCTTCTCGTGCCATGGCTATGAAAGAAAGTGAAAGTGGACGACCACAGAGAAAAGATTGAAAGCACATAGTTATAGTTTCTTGTACAACAAAAACACAGTCTGGTTTGTAGCTTTGCTTTTTGTGTGTTCAAGCCAGTGCTATGCTTACTTAGCTACTTTTACTTGTATAAACATGATGGTTCAGAGGAGCTTGTCTTAGTTTCTGATTTGACCCTCAATACAGTTTGTTGGGGTGCTGTTTCTGCTTATTTACGTTCAGGATCAGGACTCCCATGTTTGTTGAGAATTAGTGCTGCCTTTGTTTCTTGTTGCCTTGTTTCTGATATAGGATCCACTATTACGGATTTATTTCTATGTTATATTGGATTTTCAGTTAGCAATATGGCTAAGCTTGCCACTCTTGAAGAGCGCCTTTTGAATGGTGACTCTAGTGCAATCAAGAATTCTGATCCCAGTGAGACTAGAGGAAATGAAAATTTAACCCGATATTCAAATGCTGGATTTTTCAGTATTCTTTCTTTCTCATGGATCAGTCCATTAATAACTTTAGGAAATGAGAAGACTTTAATCCATGAGGACCTCCCTCTTCTTGCTACTGATGACAGCGCCTATGGGCTTTTTCCAACTTTTAGAAATAAACTAGAGTCGGAGTGTGGTAGTGTTCGAAATGTTACCACTCTTAATCTGGCGAAGGTGTTATTCTTGTCAACATGGCAAGGGATCCTTTTATCAGGTTTATTTGCATTCCTGTATGCGTGTGCTTCTTATGTTGGACCCTTTCTTATTGACATCCTTGTTCAATACCTCAATGGAGAACACATGTTTAAAAATGAAGGCTATTTATTGGCTGCGGCATTTGTTGCTGCAAAGCTTGTGGAGTGTCTTTCACAGAGGCACTGGATGTTTAGGTTCCAGCAGGTTGGGGTTAGGATGCAATCAAAGTTGGTTGCAATGATCTATGCTAAAGGTTTGACTCTTTCATCTCAATCAAAGGAGGTTCGAAGTACTGGGGAAATCATCAACTTAATGACAGTTGATGCTGAAAGGATTGGTGAATTTTGTTGGTACATGCACGATCCATGGATGTGCGTTTTGCAACTTGCTTTGGCCCTGTTAATTCTCTATAGAAGTGTAGGTGTTGCTTCATTAGCTGCCCTTGCTGCCACTGTAATTGTGATGTTGCTTAACCATCCTGTGGCATCATTGCAAGAAAAGTTCCAAGGCAAGATAATGGAGTTCAAAGATAAAAGAATGAAGGCTACATCTGAGATTCTTAAGAATATGAGGATTCTAAAACTGCAAGCATGGGAGATGAAGTTCTTAGCAAAGATTATTCAGCTAAGGAAGAGTGAGGAGGCATGGCTAAAGAAATTTCTAGCTGGTACAGCAATTATTCGATTTCTCTTCCACAACGCCCCAACTTTTATTGCAGTGGTTACTTTTGGTGCTTGTGTTCTTGTGGGGATACCACTTGAATCAGGGAAGGTCTTATCTGCACTTGCAACATTCAGAATTCTTCAAATGCCCATCTACAGTATTCCAGACACAATTTCTATGATTGCACAAACTAAAGTTTCTCTGGATAGGATTGCATCATTTCTTCGACTAGATGAGTTGCAGACTGATATAGTACAGAAGCTTCCATGGGGTAGTTCTGATAAGGCAATTGAATTAGTGAACGGAAACTTCTCATGGGATTTATCTTCCCCTAATCCAACACTGAAAAACATAAATCTCAATGTTTCTCATGGTATGAGAGTAGCTGTATGTGGTACTGTTGGGTCAGGCAAGTCTAGTTTACTTTCTTGTATTATAGGGGAAGTCCCAAAGATATCTGGGACCTTGAAAATATGTGGAAAAAAGGCTTATGTTTCTCAATCGCCATGGATACAGAGTGGCAAGATAGAAGACAACATATTATTTGGTAAAGAGATGGACAGGGAAAAGTATGAGAATGTGGTAGAAGCATGTTCCTTGACAAAGGACCTTGAGATTCTACCATTTGGTGATCAGACCATTATTGGAGAGAAGGGAATCAATTTGAGTGGTGGACAGAAGCAAAGAGTGCAAATAGCCCGTGCTCTATACCAAGATGCTGATATATATCTTTTTGATGATCCCTTCAGTGCCGTTGATGCTCATACAGGATCCCATCTCTTTAAGGTACTTTTTTCTAAACTACCGTTTTCAGTGCCATCTAGTATTATGGGAAGGTTAGACTTCCAAATTCTTAATACAATCTTTGAATCTTTCTAAACATTCTACATTTGTTCAGTTCAATGCATAGTTATGTACGTGTTTCAAATTGTCTGAGTTTAGATTTCTCCAAAATTGACTATAAAAATTAGAACTTAAATCCTTTTTGGCAACGTTAGCAGTTTCTCCTAGTGGAGTTTTATGTATCTAATCTCTACGATGTCGAACAGCATAATATGTACATGGATAATCCTATACACTTCAAACATAATTAGTTTTGTTATGCATTTGGATAAAAGACTGTTATCTGATTTTCATTTACACTGTACTGTTTCAGGAGTGCTTACTGGGCCTTTTAAAATCAAAAACTGTGATATACATAACACATCAAGTAGAGTTCTTACCCGATGCTGATCTAATATTGGTGAGTGATTCATAAATATCAGATACACGAATTGAAACATCCGCATTTGGTCAATTTACAATTGTGTCAGTATATGTTTACAACTTATCCAGGTCATGAGAGAAGGAAGGATAACTCAATCAGGAAAATACAATGACATTCTCAAGACAGGCACTGATTTTATGGAACTTGTAGGTGCACACAGTGCAGCTTTGTCTTCAATTATGTCCTTAGAAAGAAGGTCAACATTCAAAACATCACATACCACCGAAGGGGAAACAGATTCGTTAAGTGATTTTGAACTTGAGCAAAATGTGGTAAACATATATGATCAAAATGATAAGCCAAACGACACAGTTGAGCCCAAAGGACAACTTGTTCAAGAAGAAGAACGAGAAAAGGGTAGAGTTGGGTTTAAAGTGTACTGGAAATACATCACAACAGCATATGGAGGAGCTCTTGTGCCTTTCATATTACTTTCACAGACACTCACTGTGGGTTTTGAGATTGCAAGCAATTATTGGATGACTGTGGCAACTCCTGTTTCAGCAACAGCAGAATCTGATATTGGAAGCTTTACACTTATGGTTGTCTATGTTGCTTTGGCAATTGGAAGTTCCATTTTCACCTTTGCCAGAGCATTTCTAGCTGTGATAGCCGGATACAAGACAGCTACTGTGCTCTTCAATAAAATGCATTCGTGCATTTTTCGAGCACCAATATCATTTTTTGATGCCACCCCAAGTGGTCGAATCCTCAATAGAGTATGTCAGTATATGTTGATTTGTTCATTGGTTTAATTTAAAGAGACAACTTTTTTACCTGCTGAGAGCCTTGTTTTATAAATTTTGATTTCTCTATTTTTTTTTTCTTTTTCCAAATGACCATATTGAATGTAGTTGTCAAAATCTTAGATTTGCTTTTTGTTGCAGGCCTCAAAAGACCAAAGCACGCTAGATATGTACATTGCAAATATATTATGGGCAATTACCCTCAATCTGGTTCATCTCTTGGGAAGTATTGTTGTGATGTCTCAAGCTGCATGGGAGGTGTTCATAGTATTGATTCCTGTCATGGCGGCTAGTATTTGGTACCAGGTAGTTTTGGATAATGTCTAGCCTTTATAATTTGAAAACACTTTCCCAGATGTCAAAAAAAGTTTTCCTCATTGATTAAGCATTTGAAATGACTTACTTTTGTCACATTTCTCAGAAGTTCCGTGAGGAAGAATAATATGAGTATGACTGATATTATTGTGCAAACAATATCATTGTATGTGCTAACAAAGTGATTCAACAAATGCAGCGATACTATGCTGCATCTGCAAGAGAATTGGCACGATTAGTTGGCACATGCCAAGCTCCGGTTATACAACATTTTTCTGAATCAATTTCTGGATCAACAACCATAAGAAGTTTTGAACAAGAATCAAGATTTAATGATATAAATTTGAAATTGATAGACAGATATTCTCAACCCAAATTATACAGTGCTACTGCAATTGAATGGCTGAATTTCAGATTGGAAATTTTATCCACTGTCACATTTGCCTTCTGTTTGCTATTCTTGATATCTTTCCCAAATTCAATGACTGCTCCTGGTGAGTACTTCAAATGACATAAATTCACCACTCACACCTTACTCCTTATGACACTAAGCAAAAAAATTTCGTTCATTTTTCATTCCAATTTTTTTTTTCTAAGGCATTGCGGGATTGGCTGTGACATATGGACTTAATCTAAATGCTGTGCAAACTAAAGTAATCTGGTTTCTTTGCGACTTGGAGAACAAAATTATATCTGTTGAAAGAATGCTTCAGTACACATCCCTCCCAAGTGAAGCTCCCCTTGTAATAAAAGACAACCAACCGGATTATTCTTGGCCATCATTTGGAGAGGTTCATATACAGGATTTACAGGTACATTTCAAAGATTATTCATTTGTTATATTCTGAATTGAAGGCTACAGTATCATTTTCTTGGTTAAAATCCAATTCTATTATTTATATCGTTGTATATGCAGGTTCGGTATGCTCCTCACTTGCCTATTGTTTTACGAGGTCTTACTTGCACTTTTACTGCTGGAGCAAAAACTGGTATTGTGGGAAGAACAGGAAGTGGAAAAACAACTCTTGTGCAAACACTTCTCAGACTTATTGAACCTTTGGCTGGAAAAATATTGATAGATAACATCAACATATCTTTGATTGGAATTCATGATTTGCGGTCTAGACTCAGCATTATTCCTCAAGAACCAACAATGTTTGAAGGGACTGTAAGATCCAACCTGGATCCCCTGGAAGAGTACAAAGATGAACAGATTTGGGAGGTAAGTTGGTTTTGTTTGAAACTATGAGAAACTTGTGTATTTAGTGTACTAATTTCTTATAAGAAACATTCCAGGCTCTAGATATGTGCCGACTTGGAGATGATGTAAGGAAAAAAGAAGGGAAGCTGAACTCCATAGGTGTGTGACTTCTCTAAACATTGAACAGTGATTTAGCATGTTTCAATTATATGTGTAAATATATTAAGAGTGTGTTACTTAATCATTGAGCTTTTGCAGTTACTGAGAATGGAGAAAATTGGAGTATGGGTCAAAGGCAATTGGTCTGCCTTGGCCGTGTTCTACTAAAGAAAAGCAAGATCTTGGTGCTTGATGAGGCTACTGCATCAGTTGATACAGCCACAGATAATATTATTCAGCAAACAGTTAAGCAACAGTTTTCAGAATGCACAGTCATTACCATTGCTCATAGGATAACCTCTATCATAGACAGTGACATGGTTCTATTTTTAAATCAAGGTAAGCATCACTTTCTGTCTTTCCTCATGCTATTTAGTCTTATTTTAAAGAAAAATTTCTCATGATAAATGTGAATATGCTTTCTCTTCATATTGATCCTGCAGGGTTGATTGAGGAATATGATTCACCTAAGAAACTTCTAAAGAACAAATCTTCATCTCTAGCTCAACTAGTGGCAGAATACACAAAGAGGTCAAACTCTGGTTTTGGAAATTAAATTGAAATTACCCACCAACCAGATATCTTCTTCATGATGATACATGTTTGCTGGTGCCATGTCACCATTGCATTTCATCTAGTGTATCCTACTTTAGTGGACTTAGGTAAAGGTTTTAGTTGACTCACTCTATGGCACATAATATCAGTTATGCTCATATAATTTATGCATAGTTTGTGAATTTTTATGCAGATTATTGCCAAGTTAACGATCTAAGTTCAATAATAGTGCCTGATTGTAAGCCTTAGTTACCCAAAATGCAGAGAATTTTTGTTGCTCAACACATACATTTTCCCAATATACAAAATTTTGTCTGAGGAAAAAAAAAAAACTATATTTTATACAACCAAAACTTGACTAACATATAGTAATAAAAATGCTTTGTGGATGCAAAAAAATGACCTAGATCACTTCAGCAAGCAAATTTTTTCTACAAAGTTGACATCTTTTCTGAATTTAATTTAGTCTTTTAAAAAATTTGACCTTGTGTGAATTTATGTGAAAACATTATTATTATAAAAATTTTAAGTAATATTATCAAGAGAAACTGAATAAGCTAATGAACATATACTTATATCTTCTAGAAAACTAAAAAGTTTGATAAAACTATGTGGCAACATAGAGTATATGGGATACTTTAAGTCTCGTAGAAAAAATCCTTGGGGTTATTTAGCTAACCCAGTTGCAGATAGAGACTACCAATAAGCTTTAGATACCTTGTTAGTAGTCTCTATCTGTAGCTGGGTTAGCTAAATAACCCCAAGGATTTTTTCTACGTGACTTAAAGTATCCTATATACTCTATGTTGCCATATAGTTTTATCAAACTTTTTAGTTTTCTAGAAATCTCTTCTAGAAAAGTATTTATACTGTCTATATCTAGTATAGACTTTTTGTATCCCACCAGAGGGAAAATTATAATTTGTTCAACAGCTAGCAGAGCTGTTTTGTAATCTTTATCTAAAATATTTTGTTCAACAGCTATCAAAGCTGTTTTGTAGTTTTTGCCTAGAAAAGGCTGTGTAGTGCCTATCAAAGGTTGTGTAGTGAAAGGCTGTGAACCTTATTAGACATCTCATAATCTCATAATCTTATCATGGACTTGTGTGTTTATTTTTCTGTCTTTACTTTTCTGTCTTTAATTTCGTTCATGCGTAAGCTTATGAGGAGATGTCTAACCGGCTCTGCCAGATTCAGTCATCTCATAATGCTTATAGTGAACACTTTCTTGCTATAACCGACTTTATCTCGGGCAGTCTTCATTTTAGCTAGCCCGGTTTCGGGTTCTCTGTGAGCTAAGTAGCCACGTTGACCTACAAAAGAGATAAAGAGTTATAACATGTTTTAATTTATTTATTTTTCTGTCACTTTACTTTCCTCATTTCCTTCCCCCTCTTCGGTTTCAGAGCAATTTTCTGGGGGTCATACCCACAGTTTTCTTGTTCTGTCTCCTCTTGGTATCTGAGCAGTGTTTTTCCCATATTGAGTTTTCCTGCTTTCTCTGTACCTTTTATTTTGGGGTATATGAGCAAATGTCTGCTGGTTCCAACCCCTGGTTTCTGTTTTGATTCTTTCACCCCCCCCCTCCTCTCTTTGGTATCAGAGCAGTTTTCTGGGGGTCATACCCACAATTTTCTTGTTCTGTCTCCACTTGGTATCTGAGAGTGTTTTTCCCATACTGGGTTTTCCTGCTTTCTCTGTACCTTTTATTTTGGGGTATCTGAGCAGTTACCTGGCGGTTCCAACCCCTGGTTTCTGTTTTGATTCTTTCAGCCCCCCTCCTCTCTCTTTGGTATCAGAGCAAGGTTTTCCTTGGTTACCTGAATATGATTCTTTGCAATTGAACTGATTTGTATTCGCTAGGATACCTAGCCAGTAGTAGGGCAGGTTAAGGTCAGGGAGTGCCACGAAGACCCTAAATCCCGCGACGCTACCTTTGTGGGTTGAGGAATATATTGCATATTGCGGCAGTCTTTGCAAAGAAAAATATTTTCATTTTTTTTTAATTTTCTTTCTTGTCTATTCGTGTGTTTTTCTTTTTATCACTTAAAAAAAACATAAAAATCAAAAATTAATAAAATCAACAAAAAGATTTTCTTTTAAGCCTTATGATTATCTATATTCTTTTATAAATATTGTTTTACGGTGTATTCAGTGGATCCCCTTATCCTTCTCCACTTATCTGCTGTCTTACTTTCTTGCTCTCTGACTTTCTGCCTTTTTTTTACAATTTATTTTATTTTAAAAATTTTAATGGAAGGTTCACAGCCTTTGATAGGCACTACACAGCCTTTTCTAGCAATATCTACAAAATAGCTTTGGTAGCTGTTGAATAAAATATTTTAGATAAAAATTACAAAACAGCTCTGATAGCTATTGAACAAATTATAAATTTTCCTCTGGTGGGATACAAAAAGTATATACTAGACAGTATAAATACCTTTCTAGAAGAGATTTCTAGAAAACTAAAAAGTTTAATAAAACTATATGGCAACATAGAGTATATGGGATACTTTAAGTCACGTAGAAAAAATCCTTGGGGTTATTTAGCTAACCCAGCTGCAGATAGAGACTACCAACAAGCTTTAGATACCTTGTTAGTAGAACACAGAGGACTACAGGACTGGTTCTCAAAAACCCTATCAAACCTAGACCTAGAACAAGATAGGTCAGTGGATAATAGGTGTAGTATTTTTACTATCCCTAAAAACGAAAACAGTCCTATGGTAGGATGTGAAAAAGATACAATAGGTAATGTATCTTTTGATAATATTATAAATGAATTTTTAGATGAATTTTATCCAGATGAAGATGATATATTGGATAATTTATCTGAAGTCTCAGAACCCTTAGAAACCCTAGGGTCTGAAAAAATGAGTGTTGAATCAGATGATTTTCAATCTCATAACTACCAATTAGAATCTGATGATGATTCTATAAAATCACTACAAAATATTGGTTTTGATAGCAACCAAAACCTTACACTAGACAATAGGCCTTGTGCAGAGCTGAGTCTACAAAACCCTAAACTTCTTCTAAACTTAGGAGAAACATTAGACTATTTGGGTAATGGTTTAGTGAACACAACAGAGAAAAATTCATGTTGTCATGACATTCAATTTTTCTCAGGACTAGGATCCATTCCTTGTCTACATTGTGAAAGATATTTTCACATCTCTCAAAGGGCTCATTGTCCCCTTTGTTACAAAAATTTCTGTATAGACAGTTTAAAAACTAAACAAGGAATACATGATACACCTACTTTCTTGAGAAAAAAAGAAAGTACAAAAGACAAAAATTTAATCGATACTAGGACTTCAGTCTTAGAAACCTGATTAAACATACTTGAAGAAAATGTTCTTAACTTAGAAAAAATTGTTAAAGGAAAAGATACTAAAAAGGATTTAGTATCTACTTTTACACAAAACAATATGATGGGAACTATGGAACGCATCCCATTAGTTTGTAATACAAAACAACTAATTACCGTAAAGATATTAGTAAAATTAAACTTTCCTCAAAAAGACAAATATCCTGCCAAAGAAGTTATAGTTCAAGCTCTCTTAGATACAAGATGTTCTGAAACAGTTATATGCAGAACAAAAGTACCCACATACATGATTACCAAAAGTAAACATGTATAAAAAATCAGAACGATGTCTGGTCAAATAATGATAAATGATGAAGAGATAAGAAATATCTCTCTTCAATTTAGCACAAATTGTGACCTGTTTGGTCAGAAAATACACCTCAAATCTATGCGAGTGGAAAATTTAGTTCCCTCCAAACAAAATATGATTATTGGTTTAGATTTTATCCTAGGCCAAGATCGAACTATCACTATAAACATAGATTATGATATAATTAGTGATAGAACACAAATGTCTCCCATAATTCGCGGTGACAACCAAAATTACATAGAACAACCTATGGATGAATGTTCTTGTGATAATCCTAAATCTTCTAACATATGTGATTGTATGGAACAAGATTTAGAAAAATTGGATTATTATTACACAAATGATATTATGGAATCTTTTTCTTCCATAAAGATATAAAAAATAATCACGTTTGACAATATCCAACAAATACTGGATACGTTAAACAAAACAAGCATAATAGGAGAAGACCCTACGAAGTTTTGGGATCGTGACCCTATTATGTGTAAACTTAATATAATCAATCCTGATTTGATTATAAAAACAAAAGACATACAGTTTAACAACTGGGAACAAGAAGAATGTCGATTGCATATTGACAATCTCTTGAAATTGAAACTAATAACTCCAAGTGAGAGTCCTCATAGGAGTCTTGCTTTCATAGTAAACAAAGTTTCAGAGCAAAAAAGAGGTAAATCTAGGATAGTTTACAATTATAAAATACTTAATGATAACACACTCGAAGATAGATATATTATTCCATCTAAATTTATTTTGATAAACCGCGTACAAAATGCAATATGGTTTTCAAAATTTGACTTAAAGAATGGTTTCCATCAGGTAAAAATGGATCTAGACTCTGTAAAATGGAAAACTTTCTCCTGTTCAGAAAGATTATACGAATGGCATGTGATGTCTTTCGGTCTTTAAAATGCACCTGTCATTTTTCAAAGAAAACTAGACAACATTTTTAAGGACTTTAAATCCTTTACTTGCGTCTATATAGACGACATACTTGTTTTTTCCAAAACTAAAGAAAAACATTTTCTTCATTTAAAACAAGTGTTATATAAATTAAAACACTATGGGTTAATAGTGTCTAAAAACAAAATGGAAATCTGTAAAAGATTTATAGAATTCCTAGGAACAGAAATAGGGAACGGAACCATAAAACTCCAACCCCATATTTCTAAAAAAATCCAAAATTTTTCTGATAAAATGGAGGATATTAAACATTAAGATCCTTTTTAGGACTCTTAAATTATGCCCGAAATTTTATTCCAAATTTGGGTAAATACATATCTCCTTTATACAACAAGACTTCTATTAAAGGAGAAAGAAA